GGGGAGTTTGCTTTCTGATGATTTGTTTTGGAGTATACCTTCATGAATCGATTCAGAATCCTGGGTTTGTTTCGGGCTTTTCTAGAATACGTTGTTGAGATTTTTCTTATTTTTGTGGGATTTCAGGATTTGAAAACTCCTTCGGCCGCTAAAGATGGTGGTGAGCTCGTCTTTTCTCGGGGTTTATTCGCGTTTGCTCTTTCAGTTATTTATTAGTTTGTGTGAAATGTTGGGGCTGATGTTTAAAGTGCTTCCATGGGATCAAGAAAGAGTTTTGTTCATTTTCAAGAATTAGTAATCTATCAGGCTGAGGTTTTACTAAGAAACAAGCGATTATACTTATTATCTATTAGTTTGTTTGTAATTATTTCAAATCTTTACGCGTGATCCCAAGTAAATGTTTGCTTTCAAAATGGCATGTGTTTGAAAATATGAGAAAATTGTATTGTATTGCAATCTGACCGTCCCGCTAAAATAAGCAGAAGTCACTAAGGGCACGAGAGCGAATTGTGTTTGGTTTTCTGTTAACTTTCCAAACTAGTTTTTTTGACGGAACACACTTAATCTATAATAGTTTCCTTTGTTCACTCCACATTTGATATTTAGATTATTCAGTTTACAGCTAACTGGTATGTTTCATGTTTGTTATCCAGGAGAGAAGTCTGATGCTGCCGGAAGCAAAGCGCCCCCTCATTCGTCTTCTACAGAAACCCAGCCTGGACAGAGAAGAACCAACCCTGCTTTAGTTCCTGGGATGTCAAATCCCTTTGACTTCTCAGCTATGTCTGGACTGCTTGATGTGTGTATTTTTCCTCCTGCATTTTAACCAAATAAATATGTTCCCTTAAAATGCATTTTCCCCAGAAAGATGGTGCAACATGACTGTATTTTTCTAGAATCACGATACCTTGATTTTTGGGGTTCTATATAGGCATATAATATTCCTGAGTTTGGCCTCTTTTTTTTTTTTTTTTTTTTTTTTTTTTTTTTTTTTTTTTTTTTTTTTTTTCTTTCTTTCTTTCTTACAGGACCCTAGCATCAAGGACTTAGCCCAACAGATAGCAAAGGATCCGTCATTTAAGCAGATGGCCGAACAGCTAGAGAAGACCTTTCAAGGTGCTGGTGCTGAAGATGGTATTCCCAACTTTGACACGCAGCAGTATTATTCGACGATGCAACAAGTCATGCAAAATCCACAGTTCATGACCATGGCTGAGAGACTGGGTAGTGCATTGATGCAGGTATTTCTGCTTTATTATAAAATAAAACGTTAGTGGGGATGATTACAAAAACCATCCATGCTCCTTGTTATAGCTGCCCAAAATGAAAAAAGAAAGAACAAACAGTTTTGAAAATTATAAAAACTACCTTTGATATTGGATCACATTCTCGACATGTGGGCAGGCTGTTGCTGGTGCGAAATGCTAGGTGGATGATAACCTTTTTGTAGTATTTATTTATTCTTTTATTTATTTTGCATGTGTAATTAGGCAACTCGCAATGAGATAATTTTTTAGTATCCTAATATCCCGTCTGGATAGGTTGCTATCAGTGAATGTATGCATTGAAATTAATTTTTGCTGCAGGATCCAGCCATGTCTGGCATGCTCGAGAGTTTGGCAGACCCAAATAACAAAGAACAATTCGAAGAAAGGATGTCTCATATTAAAGAAGATCCGTCTTTGAAGCCGATTCTGGAAGAGATTGAGAATGGTGGTCCTGCTGCTATGATGAGGTCTTTATTATCATCTACGTTTCCCTAAGGGCTCATTTACTTATCTTGGTGGGATAGGATAATTTTGTGGCATGAGTGTTGGGTAGCACTCTGCGGATAGTACGATTGCTTGTTTATTTGAATGATTTATACTTGGAATGGTATTGGCTATGTAGTCCCATAACGTGTTATCTTTCCCTTGGTAACACCTATTTAGATCTTTTTTCTTATAGTTAAGACCATTTGAACCACTCTTTGAATCATTTTGTCGAATTTCAATCAGGTACTGGAATGATAAGGAGGTTCTTAAGAAGTTAGGGGAAGCAATGGGTTTTGCTGTCGGTGAAAGTGCTGCCTCCGCAGGTGACGCCCCTGGTGAAGATGAGGCAGATGAAGCAAATGACGAGGAATCTATCGTTCATCATACTGCCAGTGTTGGTGATGTGGAGGTGTGCCTCAAGTAATTAGATTTTGTAAATTACAACCAAAATCAATTGAATTCTTGAAATACACCATTTTACTCTGTTTACCAATTATTAAATGTTTTGAAATTGCATGAGAAGACTTTCTAAGGGGTTTTGAATTGTTTCCAAAATGTTGCTTTACTTGTCATTTCACTGTAGAGGGATGGAATGTTTGATTAACTATATGTATACTTGCTTATATGACACAATTAGGGCTTGAAGAGTGCTCTGGCTGGTGGTGCTGATAAAGATGAAGAGGATTCTGAAGGAAGGACTGCATTGCATTTTGCATGTGGATATGGCGAGGTATTAAGAATACAACACTTGAGGGTGACTTGCAAAAGCTGCCCTTGAGGTTAAGGGTAATTACTGAAACTAAAGAAGGAAAGGAAAAAAGCTCATAAAAATATGGAAATCACAAAAACTATTCAAGGTCTGATTTGTGTTGACATCAGGGTTTGCTATGATATGTTCACTTATGAAAAGGGCATGTCTGGAATGTTTTTTATTTTTTCTGGTGAGGGGGGTTTAAGAGAATCAGACGTCAAAGGCATGCGCCCCTTTTTTTTTCTTGTTTTCCTTGTTAAGCTTAACCTTGAGCTTGAGGGTTGCTCTTGCATTTCCTATAACAGCAGTTTTTCTTTCATCCTCTTTTTATTTATTTGGCTCTCCCCATCTAATTTCATTAGTTTGCTGGTGATGATATGCTTGAAACTTTCTTTTCTTAAGCCCTTGCTTCTTGTTTCCTTGTGATTCCGATTTGTTGATAATGTTGTGTATAGTTGTAGCTAGCTTTTTGCTTCTTTATTAAATCCTTGACCCGAAAGTTGATTTATATCAATCGATCCTATTGACAGGTTAAATGTGCTCAAGTTCTTCTAGAGGCTGGGGCTAAGGTGGATGGTTTGGATAAGAATAAGAACACTCCCCTCCATTATGCTGCCGGTTATGGTCGTAGGGACTGTGTCGAGCTTTTGTTGAAAAATGGTGCTGCTGTGTAAGCATTTTCACTTAGATCATTTAATTTTTAGATATGTTTTTTATAGACCATCTTTTAGGGGGTAAAAAGAAAAGAAGAGAAGGTTCAAACGTCTTAACGTAAATTACACTTACTACCAAATACTGCCCCCTCTGATGGTATATTTTATTAACAAATTGTCAAAGAGAAGTTTGAATTTGTAGGATAATGGTGTTTTACTAGTTCTTCATTTGAATTCCTTCGCTTTTTCATACATGCAGTACTCTTCAGAACCTAGATGGGAAGACACCCATTGATGTTGCCAAACTAAATAACCAAAAGGAGGTGCTAACTTTGCTCGAGAAGGATGCATTTCTGTAGAAGTTGAGAGGTTAAAAAGATTTAAATCTTACCCTTGCAATCTTTCAATATCAGTGTGTGTGCAGCCCCTCTCGTGTTGTCTCACGAGCCTGCTGCTGCCTTCTCTGTATTTGCCACATTTCTGGGTTGTTTTATTTAGTTACATAATCATGTCTCGTCCAGGGGTTTTCGGCTCTGTGTTTGTAACTTACTGATTTTCTCCATGTTTGCTCTCAATAATCATATCTTGGTGGATTTCAAAGGTCATTTCTGTGTTTTGCTACAGACAACATGTTGTGCTTCATCTTGTCCTCAATTTGTTTGTCTTTATGGATTTGTTGCGCATCGGAGGTGAAAATCTCAAGTGCTGTTTAACCTTTCGCTGTTCAAAGTGGCACTAGATTGTGGGTGATGCAACCATTATGAAAATGAAACTAAAATCACTCCGATTAGAAAAATAAACCGTTACTGCTTTGACTTTCTCCGAAACAATTCGAAAGAATAGTTGGTACGATTTTGGATATTTTATAAATATTCGTACCAAGAGTCGAACCAACCATTCCATACTGTACCAAATTGAAAAATTAAAATTCTGGATAGAACTATAACATTATATGTGTTTTATTCATTGCATTAACTTTAGTCTTATACTTCTTTAGTATTTTCAAAATACTTAATAGCGTACATTAATAATACATTGTATTGCACTTAAGTTTCATACTTAATAATAATAATACATTATCAATGTTATTTTTATTTAATTGAAAAAAAATATTTGTATTACATTTGTTGGTATTTCTTACTCTTATTCCGTTTTATATTTAAAATGATATGAAAAATTAAAAAATTATCGGTTTCTTTCATATTATTTTATATTTGTTTGGATTTCAAATATCCTTCATTAGGTGCAAGAATGTAGAATTTAGTGTCAACTGAAATTTTAATTTTTTTCAACATTTTATAATGTTGTATTCAACGTTAAAAGTTTAATATGGTTAAACATTTATGAATGTAGAAAGAAAAATCCAAATTTAAGTTTGACTAGATAGTACTTAAAAAGAAGTTTGGAAAAGTAAAAAAAATCACCACTTCTCCAATTTGAACCAAACATTTCTAATAGTCTCGAATTCCAAATCGATCAGAACTAAACCGTACAAGAAATTTTTTTGTTAAAATTAATTAAATTTCAATGCTTTTTCAAAAATTATTATTTTTATTTAACATGACACTTAATATTTGCTCGTCCCTTGTTATAATTTTTTTACTTATATCATATTATAGACTTGAGGATAAATTTAATTAATAATCAATATTTGATTATTTACAAATTAGGATATAGTAGATATTTCAGTTTTTATTTGTAAAGGTAGTCATAATTTTTCATATATATACAAAGTGAATACCAAATCTAAAATCCATAAGAAATGATTACTTTGAATTATTATATATTAAAAATTGATAATATATTAAAAACTTATTAAATTTCAAAAACATTTATAAGTTAAGTTGATCTAATATTTTTTTTTTTTTTAGTTTTAAAAAGACCTAATAGGTATTGATAAGAGTCCAAATCTATATTGACTACTCAAAAGCATCAACATTTGAACATAAGATTAAGAAGAACCAGCAATCGACATATAGGTTCCGAGTTGGTAGTTTGAAATATTTGATTACATAAATAATATTTTGCTAATAATAATAATATTATAATTATATTTTATTTCTGTTAATAGGATTATAGAGAAATTGTGAGATAAAATAAATAGTATTTTTGTTAAAGGATTTTGTTTCAATCCCACCCTATATATTAATTGAAAACGTGTTGAGTTTAAGTGACAGTTTCTCACGCTTCGGATGCTGACATGACGAAAATCTATGCTTCGTGTGATGTTGTATTATTTTTGCTCTGGAGTTAAGTTTAATATTAAACATGTAAATAACTTTTATCATGTAGTATTTCTTAATTCTAATACCCGTGTTGTACACGGGTATTGTACTAATTTAGTTTTAATTGATATCATATTCCACTCGGCTTCTTGGTCTTCCTCACATAAAAAGTCTGGATTCTTTGACTATATATTGGCGCATGACATTTATGCTCATGGGTAATGAAGATAGAGATAATATCTTATACCCTTTTATTTTTATTTTTATTTTTATTTATATATATATATATATATATA